CTAACTTCCAATCTTCTGGGACTACTCCTGTTAACAATGATTGGTAAAGTAAGTCTGTTAATGGTTTTGCTAGTACACCACTAAGCTCTTTTAATAACTTTGGGTGTATTCCATCAGGTCCTATTGACTTATTTGTCTTTACTTTTGACAGTTGAAATAGAACCTCTTCCTCTGTAAACTCACATGTAACAAAACATGTCAGACATATAAATATTCTTACAACTGCCTGAATGTCTCCTTCTGCCACGGTTACATCACGGCGATCTCGTTGGCGATTTTCATTAACACGTGTTTCATTTTTCTCATCTGCCTGTGAATCAGTAAGCTGTAAGAGAAGAAGATAATTATTTTCAGAAAACAACATCCTTATTAGAAAGGAAAAAGGAAACTCCACACTCAAAGCATGTTTTTGATTACAAAACTCTGTCATTAATTTTATTTTCAATTTTTTTAATATAATTTTCTTGTTTACTGGCCACAATGTGTGATATACATATTGTAGCATGGTGTATTATTACAGCTCAGTGTAGTGATTGTGTTGTCTAGACTCTCTGAGTAACAGTTTCCAGTTTTATGTGAAACCATATAAAAGCAGTTTATTTGTTTTTTATATAAAAAAAAAAAAATAGATCAACTGCGCACTCCTCAACCACATTGAAATGCAGAATTTACACTTTTGTATTATCACGGTCAATTCCTTCCAGTCTTGGTCGTGGTGACTGGGAGAGCTGTGGGTAGGTGGGTTGCCTCAGTTTTCAGTCCCTTTTGGTGTGTGACAGTGGTTAATGTTGAACATTAATAGATTTCTATCTGGGTTTCAAGACTGATTGCTGCAAGCCTGACCATATCTGAGAGAACAATGTATGGGTAATTGCATACCATAAGCCAATATGACAATGTATATGTTGGGATTTCAATAAACAGTTTAACACAAAGCACATTTGGAATGTAGAACATAAACATTACAAACTATGTTACCTTAAATTGTAATGGATTGATTTCCAGATTGTTGGTACACTCCATGGGTCCATCAATGTCATAGGTTACAATGTATAACAATGTGTTATTATTATACCTGAAGGGCCAATTAAGAATCATGATGGCTTTACTAAATGTACTTGGACCATTGTTCCTCAGCTAACAAGAGATAAAATAATGCAAAACATTATTGAAGAAAGCAATAATATTGAAGAAATTAAATATGCCCATACATATACATAATGCAATATGCAAAATTGTGTTTAATACATACACAGTTAGCCATACACTCACACATATCACACTCACGGCAAATCACACAAAACCAATCACTCAGTCGCACACACAATCTGACAGTTACACACAAAGATATGGTGCATACTTACATATCTATCTATTCATCAATTGTACGTGCATTTATATCTACAGAGACTCACACACAGACATTTGCATACATTCATACCTAAGCATACACACACCTCTTATTGCTTATTTTTTCTTTAGGCAGAAATACATAATCTTAACGCATAATCATAAATACATAATCTTAACTCATCAATAGTTGGTGCTTTCTTGCAATGTACATATTCTATTCAGGAGAACATGACAGAAATAAAAGTAAGTCAGTCACACTTTATTACTGCCTTATTGCTTAAGATTTGTGAAATCAGCTAAAACATCCACACACACTAGCAGAAAAGTAGTAGAAGTATATAACTACAGTTTGCTCAGAATATCCTAATAATGGATTAGACTTAATTAAGGAAAAGGAATAGTACCTCTGCTAAAAGGAAACCACATTTCTCATCCATTAAAATAAAACATTTTCAGATATATTGAAACATTTATTAACTAAACTTTGCATTTTGAAGAACTGAAAACCTAATTGCAAAGTAAAGGATATAACTGCAGTGTAGGAAAAATGTGCTAGTTCTGCTACTTTTCCAGTGTTCAATTTGTTGACGATCATTTCAAGTCAGAAGCTATATAGCACAAGGAATGGGCTGTGCTACATAGAATGCCAGAGCAGCTATTAAAAAAAAAAAAAAAATTACCTCAAAGACATGTTGAACTAATGGACCGATATCCTCTTCCGTGACTGGATTCTCTTTCACTTCCCAGTTTGCAATTGGCAAGAATATTTCATTTGGTGTGGATACTCTGTAGGTGTATCAGAAGAAAAAAAAAATAACAAAACAAAATTAAAAACGGAAAATGGTATTTAAATGTATATGGTCCTTCTGGTATGACTCATTAAATAGTCATTACAGTACTATTCTTATTAAAATCACTTTTTAGGACAATGTATCAAAACTTGAAGCACAGTTGACGTAAGATTTTTTTTTTTTCTCAGTAAAGCTACTTTGGCCTTATATATGAAATTCACTTTGATTTCGTACTTCAGTAAATAACACTGTATGAATTTTTCAGCAGCTTCAAACACATCAGCAGAGTACAGAGTAAATAAAATGTGAAAAGACAACAAATACTTTGAGCAGTGGATGCTGTTGATCTCCTGCTATGCTCTCCTACTGTCTTTAAAGGGACACTATAGTCACTTGAACAACTTTAGCAGCCTCACTGCTCAATCCTCTGCCATTTAGGAGGTAAATCCCTTTGTTTATGAACCCTAGTCACACCTCCCTGCATGTGACTAGCACAGCCTTCCATAAACACTTCCTGTAAAGAGAGCACTATTTAGGCTTTCTTTATTGCAAGTTCTGTTTAATTAAAATTTTCTTATCCCCTGCTATGTTAATAGCTTGCTAGACCCTGCAAGAGCCTCCTTTATGTGATTTAGAGATTGAGATACAATTATTTAAGGTAAATTACATCTGTTTGAAAGTGAAACCAGTTTTATTTTTCATGCAGGCTCTGTCAATCATAGCCAGAGGAGGTGTGGCTAGGGCTGCATAAACAGAAACAAAGTGATTTAACTCTTAAATGACAGTGAATTGAGCAGTGAAATTGCAAGGGAATGATCTATACACTAAAACTGTTTTATTTAGCTAAAGTAATTTAGGTGACTATAGTGTTCCTTTAATATTTCCTATAAACCCCATCTACCTGAATTTATGATCCAAAGATGACCCATGAATAGAGGCCAAAAACATTTGATTCATGGGCAATTCACTCAAATGCCCAAATGGCAAATGAATGAGAGCACACCAATAATCTATAAACACTTTTAAAGACACCAATACTGATAAGTTGGCAGTGGGGGTAAAGAAATGTATATTTCCACTTGTTAATTGTAGATCTAAAGACTCCTATATATCTTCTTAAAACCACAAAAATCTACAATACAAATATCACATATAGTGTAATATAATTAACACACCATGTAATTGAAAGTGGACTATTGCACTCACAAGGTAGTTAGCAGGCAGGACAAATAATTCTCAGTAGGACATAGATGGAATAAAGTGAAAAATATAATGCAAAACTGTACAGTATTAAAAAACAGAATTTTAATAATATTGCACTCACAAATTCCCAAATGATCAGAGGCACATCTACAAGATATACAGGGAGTGCAGAATTATTAGGCAAATGAGTATTTTGACCACATCATCCTCTTTATGCATGTTGTCTTACTCCAAGCTGTATAGGCTCGAAAGCCTACTACCAATTAAGCATATTAGGTGATGTGCATCTCTGTAATGAGAAGGGGTGTGGTCTAATGACATCAACACCCTATATCAGGTGTGCATAATTATTAGGCAACTTCCTTTCCTTTGGCAAAATGGGTCAAAAGAAGGACTTGACAGGCTCAGAAAAGTCAAAAATAGTGAGATATCTTGCAGAGGGATGCAGCACTCTTAAAATTGCAAAGCTTCTGAAGCGTGATCATCGAACAATCAAGCGTTTCATTCAAAATAGTCAACAGGGTCGCAAGAAGCGTGTGGAAAAACCAAGGCGCAAAATAACTGCCCATGAACTGAGAAAAGTCAAGCGTGCAGCTGCCACGATGCCACTTGCCACCAGTTTGGCCATATTTCAGAGCTGCAACATCACTGAGTGCCCAAAAGCACAAGGTGTGCAATACTCAGAGACATGGCCAAGGTAAGAAAGGCTGAAAGACGACCACCACTGAACAAGACACACAAGCTGAAACGTCAAGACTGGGCCAAGAAATATCTCAAGACTGATTTTTCTAAGGTTTTATGGACTGATGAAATGAGAGTGAGTCTTGATGGGCCAGATGGATGGGCCCGTGGCTGGATTGGTAAAGGGCAGAGAGCTCCAGTCCGACTCAGACGCCAGCAAGGTGGAGGTGGAGTACTGGTTTGGGCTGGTATCATCAAAGATGAGCTTGTGGGGCCTTTTCGGGTTGAGGATGGAGTCAAGCTCAACTCCCAGTCCTACTGCCAGTTCCTGGAAGACACCTTCTTCAAGCAGTGGTACAGGAAGAAGTCTGCATCCTTCAAGAAAAACATGATTTTCATGCAGGACAATGCTCCATCACACGCGTCCAAGTACTCCACAGCGTGGCTGGCAAGAAAGGGTATAAAAGAAGAAAATCTAATGACATGGCCTCCTTGTTCACCTGATCTGAACCCCATTGAGAACCTGTGGTCCATCATCAAATGTGAGATTTACAAGGAGGGAAAACAGTACACCTCTCTGAACAGTGTCTGGGAGGCTGTGGTTGCTGCTGCACGCAATGTTGATGGTGAACAGATCAAAACACTGACAGAATCCATGGATGGCAGGCTTTTGAGTGTCCTTGCAAAGAAAGGTGGCTATATTGGTCACTGATTTGTTTTTGTTTTGTTTTTGAATGTCAGAAATGTATATTTGTGAATGTTGAGATGTTATATTGGTTTCACTGGTAATAATAAATAATTGAAATGGGTATATATTTGTTTTTTGTTAAGTTGCCTAATAATTATGCACAGTAATAGTCACCTGCACACACAGATATCCCCCTAACATAGCTATAACTAAAAACAAACTAAAAACTACTTCCAAAAATATTCAGCTTTGATATTAATGAGTTTTTTGGGTTCATTGAGAACATGGTTGTTGTTCAATAATAAAATTAATCCTCAAAAATACAACTTGCCTAATAATTCTGCACTCCCTGTACTTGTTGCAGGATCCACAGCAAGGGGAGCGTCTCCTAAGTGGTGTTCCAATTGATTAGATCACTTGAGAAATCCCAACATACAGTGAAACAGTATAAAAACAATTTTGCTGTATGTTGGAATTCCTCAAGTGATCGAATCAATTGGAACAACAATTAGGAGATGTTCCCCTTGCTGTGGATCCTGCCTTTTCTCATTTGTTTTTTTTTGTTTGTATTATTAAAATTCTGTTTTTTTTAATACTATATAGTGTTGCACTATTTCTGTCGCTTTATTCCCATCTATGTACTACTGAGAATATTGGGAGCTGGAACGCAAATAGATCCCTGACACAGTGGTTATTTGTCTTGCCTGCTAACTACCTGTGTTTGTGAGTGCAATAATCCACTTTCAATTACATGGTGTTGTAGAATTATAGAATTCTTGAAATTATCTAAGCTAATGCTTTGGCAGGAAGAAATGTACTGAATAATAAAATGTGTATTTACTAAAAGAACCTTGAAACTAACAATACTAACTACTCAAAATGGCTGCCAAAGCACCCCTCCCATCGAGTGAACACCTTGTGCTAACAAGATGGCGCCTACATCTTGTGTCCACTCCCGTGTCAAGGATAACATCACCTCTTGATGGGAGGGCATCTAACTAACCACTTAACACCTGGACCAATTAATAAAGTTTATTTGCTGTTAGCTTGAATTCTTCAGTGATGTAAAAATGCCTTTATAAGGGTCTGCACACCCATTATCTGTTAGAAGCCATTAAACTTTTCCGAAGTTCTTTCATTAACCTGAACCCTGTGTCTCAGTGTGAATTTACTTCTGTGTGCACGCAACTTTATTATATTTAATTTGGACAGGAACAGATAGTCATTCAAACTAATTGGTTTGCAGAAAATAATCTACTACAATTTGGCGCCTTCAGCGTGGGGCTCTGGGTTATGTCCTGCCCGGGCAGCCGTCCAAGAAGACGCTGGGGGGGATGAATCCTGGGGGAAGGAAAAGAGCCTGATCACCTCTGAGTACACGGTAGAGACTGCTGCAGCACCTAGCCGGTATGTTCCTGCCCCTGTGATTGACCTGTCCCAGTGTCTGTGACTGCTGCCGAGAGGACATCAAAGTCAGGTAATAACTTGCCCAGAGTCTTTGTATTGTTAATGATACCTAGTTTAAATGCATGTTGACTATCTGTTGCCTGGGTGTGTTTGTATTGGTTTGTGTTTAGCTTAGTCCCCGGGGAGTGTGAGTGCCTGTTTACCACTTTTAGGTGCTAGGTGGCTCTAGCGGTAAAGGAAAAAGGGGAGGGGACCTTGTGGAAGTCTGTGTGGACTCACTACTTTCTCAGGTCAGGGGTGTCACTTTGAGGGCCTGGCTAGCCTCATTGTGCACGTTACTCTGCTTGCAGAGGGTGAGACACTTCAGCCTCGAGCGCTGACGCTGGTAGTGTTCTGTTAACCTCTCAGTGCCCGCGGATACGGACACTGTTAGGTTGTGGTGGGATTGGATTCGGGCAGGCATTGCGGTTTCCATCATCGTGCGGTAGTGAGACTTGCGGGTGGGTCCGCAACAGGGACACTACGAGGTTGAGGGAGGTGGCTGCGGCCACACGAGTAAAGGAAGGGGATTACTGTGATTTTATTTGAACTGTGATGCATGCACTGTATTTTATTTGAAATGTTGTCTTAATTGTCTGTCACACAGATTCCTGTGCTTAATCTTATCTTACTCTCTGTGTTATTTACACTTTCCCCTCTTATTTATCTTTGTTGAGAGAAGTGATTGATCACACACTTCTCGCCACGCTCCAATCCGCGGCTACCTCGGGTAGGCGGAATTAGTGACTAGTCTACGTTTTGGGAAGACGTACGTAGGAACCCACTCTTACGTAGCAGTCGAGCACTGTAGACCTTCTTTTTCTCTCTTTCTCTATATCTGGGACGCCTTATATAGGGAGGATGGGACAGAAGTTAGATAAACCCAGTAAGGGTTGGTTAGCATGTGATTTAGTAGAAGACAGAGAAGGAGAAGAGGTGGTTAAGAAAGTGAGGAAGATTGCTAAAGTATGTGGAAT